CGGCGGAGGATGGAGGCGCCGTCGCAGGAGGGCGAGGCCGAGGGCGCCGAGCACCGGCTCGCCAAGGAGGAGCGCCCGTGCCTGGCCGAGGCCGACCAGGGCGAGCAGTCGCCGGCCGAGCTGCAGGAGGAGGCGGCCGCTGAGGCGACGGGGCTGAGGCACGAGCAGCAGCAGCGGCTGTGGAGCCTCTTCCAGATCTCAGCCACCGCCGTGGCCCAGCTCTACAGAGATTGCGGGTGCCAGCAGCCAGGACTGTCCCTGTGGGACCCCTTCCAGAACGCGGCCGTGGCCGTGACCAGCCTCTACAAAGAGAGTGGGGATGCCCACCAGCGAAGTTTCGACCTGGGCGTCCAGGTTGGCCGCCAGCGGCGCCTGAGAGACGTGCTGGAGTGGGCGCGGAAGAGCCGGAGCATCATTCGCCGGGAAGACCTCATCAGTTTCCTGTGTGGTAAAGGGCCGCCCGCCCCGTCGCCGCCGCGCACCCCCAGGACACCCCCGAAAGCGCCCGCCGGGGCGGCCGGCCAGGCGGCGGCCGCCGCCACCGAAGACAGCTCGTCGGTGGACGTGGACCTGCAGCCCTTCCACGAGGCCATCGCCCTGCACGGCCTCAGCGGGGCCATGGCGAACATCAGCGTGCGGTCCGGCGCCCCCGGCTCCCCGCCACATGACAGCGGCGTGGCCAGCGGCGCGCGTCGAAAAAGCAGCTTCCTTGAGGACAACTTGAGCCCCTTCGACTCGGAAGAACCGGCCCTCCGCCTGGACAGCGCCGGGACCCGTAAGCGAACCTCGGCCCAGTGCGAAGATAGCATCACAGACTCGCCAACCCACAAGCGCAACCGAATGGTCTAAACCGCTGCGTGGGCTACACGGCCGAACGGTGTGAGCAACCGCCATTTTGCTTGAGAGCTAACTTGACCTTCAACGAAAGGGTACTCGAGACCGTCTCTCTTCCTTCTCTAAGTTCAACAGAGGTTTCTGTCAGTTTTTCCGTAAAGGAACTTTGAAAGTGTTGCAGAAGAGGCCTCACATGACTCTTTCTGAAAAATATAATCCTAGCGGAGAATATCGCATATCGTATAGTAGTTAGCAAGATCATTTTAAGAAGTATCCGGTCAAGGCGTGAGCCTGGTTTATCTTGTTCGAGTTACATTCCTTAGCACCTAGCACAGTTGCTGGCGCTCAATAAATGTTTACTGAATGAATAAATGTGACCTTATTTAAAATTCTTAAAGGGGGACAGAAGTAGCGGTTGTTTACTTGGCTATAAGATGCTTTTCTCCTTTCTTGCTTGTTTGGTGGTTTATTTAACAGGTTTTACTAGTTTACGTGTGAAAATTTAAGACTTGACATCTGTGTGAAATCTGAGGTCTTCCATTTTTACTCCATTGTACCAGGCACCCAGTTTCTGGAAAGAAATTGTGCAAGTAATACATGTTAGACTGCATTTTTTATTTTGAAAAATAGTTGATGATTTTGGTGATTATGTGATGGTTATAAAAAGGTGTTATGATGGTTGGGCAGATAATACTTGGTACTTAGTCAATTCAGTGCTCTTTTAAAGGAAAACTAAACCAAAAGTTGAGATTCTGATAAGTTGTTACCCTTGGTGGGCCGGTGGAGTTCCTTTTTCTTAGGAATGTAAAAATTCCTTTTGCTGAAGTCACATCCTTTTGGTGATCTCCGTTCCAAAGTGGAAGACCAAGTAGTTAAAATGAACTTACGGGTGTTGTTTAACAGTACAGCGGGGTATAACTAAAGGAGCATGGGCTTTGTATTGAAGGGACCAGGGGTAGAATCCTAGCTCCACAAATTCTCGGCATGGTTTTGGGCTAGTCACTTAATGTCTGCTGACCTCAGTTTTTGCATCTGTAAAATGGAACTAGGTGACCCCTAAGGCCCTGGTGAGGATTAGATGAGGTCCATATTTCAAGTGTCTAGCGCAGTGCTCGGCAACTAAAGGTACTCAATAAATGTTCTCCCTTCTCTATAAATAAAAATCAGTGAAACATTAAAAACGATTACATTTTAGAAACAGCAGCAAAGTAGATTAATTTCAGAAATCAGAGGGTAGAATCTCTGTGTTTGAGCTTGTAAACTACTGTTAAATATAATTGAAGCTTGACTAGTTATCCCAGATCTTGTATTGATTTACAAGTGTGTTTAGCTCCTAAGTACCCAGGATCACCACTCTGGATACTAGGGCAGCCTTGGAGTCCCTGAAGTTGCCTGGGGGATGAACTTTACAACCAGGGGTAAGGAAATATCTGCCTCCTCTGGCTTGAAATAATACGGGGAGGAGGGTGAGGGTGGAAAGAATTTGGAACTGAAGGTCCTTGGGACATGTAAAAGGGCAAAGTCCTTCTGAATAAGGGTGAGGTGGAGGCGATGAAGGGAGTTGGGGTGGTGCATGTGTGGGTTGAGATTCAGGAAAGAGTGAGTGGAAGTTAAAATGCCTGAATCTTCGCAGGGTTTTCTAAAACCAGTGCACAAAATACTATCGACAGATTAGTAAAACCTTCCCTTTCAGTTTATATCACAGTGTGGTTTCTGTTTCATTCATTGGAGTAGATTTGTAATGGACCAGTGCATTAAAATCATACAATATAAAGTGAATTCCTTGATAGAATAAAAACTTGCTACTGGAGCACTCCAAGAATATTTATGGAGGCACTGTGCTAGGACCTGAGGAGGGATCCAGGAAAGTATAAAAACAAAACAATCCTTATCCTCAGAAAGCTCATCCTGGCTTCAAAGGTAAATGAATTATGTAGCCAAGCAAGCACTTCTAATTGCAGGAGAGGCACCCAAGGGCTGTGCAGGAGAATTCAGAGGGCAGAGGTCCTCCTTGCTGAGAGACACAGCTTACACAGGAGCTGATATTTGAACTGGGCCCGGAAAATGGGTAGGAAGGGAGAGCACGAGGGATTCCAGCAGGAAAGGACATCTAACAATGTTTTAGAAGCAGTAAAGTAGGTTCAGGGGTACAGGAGCTGGGTAGAGGAGGCAGGGGCCAAAGTATCGAGGGTCTCTAGTGCCTGACCCAGTCCTGTAGATTCCATCCTGAGGCAAGGGGTGATAACCACCCTATCTATGCTTGCTTGAGGAAAACTGGCCTGGCAGGGGTATGTAGGATGCACAGCTGCCCTGCTGCGAGACCCTAGAGCAGGGACTGCCTGGGGTATCCCTATAGGATACTTCTTACTGGGGACATTGGCATTTGGTTAACCCAACTTGGGGGGATGTTACCTTGATGGGGCTTTCTTTGGGAAGCCTTTGCTCATCCCTTCCCTGCCATACCTCACCCCCACCGTACAAGGTTGGAAGTACCTCCAGCGTGTGCTCTGGGGTGCTTCTTGAAGGTCGAGAAAGCCTTCACTTCAGTCTCTTGTAGGGCTTGTCTTGAGGAAACTAAGCAGCTCTGCTTTCGATGGTTCTTTCTGCTGCTTGTGCTTGAGTTCCCTCGTCCGTCCGAGTCATCAGCACTCGGGCCTACAGGACTGACTGAGCAACCGCAGTAATTTTAACAGGTGAGTAGGGAGAGTTGAAAGACAACCCGTCAGTGTGAGGGCAGGGACCTCATCTGTCTTTTCGTGGTTACTTCTGTAATCCCTAGTGCCTAGCACAGTGCCTGACCCATGCAGGTGCTCGATAATAGTCATGATACGAGTGGATGAGTAGGCACCCCATCCAGACCCAGGTGGAGCCATTCCCCTTCCTCCTTTCTCTGTTTACTCAACTGGTTGTCGTGGAGTCCACTCCAACTCATGGCGACCCTACTTGTGTCAGAGTAGAACTGTGCTCCGTAGGGTTGTCAACAGATGGTTTTTCAGAAGTAGATTGCCAGGCCTTTCTTCTGAGGCACTTCTGGTGAACTCAAACCTCCAACCTTTCATTTAGCAGCCAAACGTATTAAACATCTGTACCACCCAGGGACTCCGTCTGTTTACTTACTGCCCAGGAAAGGCACCTGAAGCCTGTGCCCTAATTTCTAGATTATTCCCCACCCCCTTTACCCTCATTCCTAACTCTTAGATTCAACTTTTTGCCAAGTATGGTCAGTCCCATGCCCACCTTTCATCAGAATCTCCTGAGGAGCTTATGAAGCTGGCAACTTCAGAACCTGCTCACCAACTGAATTAAAATCTCCAGGGGAGGGCCTGCAAGTTACCCAGGAGGAGGCCTTGGCGATTCTGATGCACAGTAAAGTCCGGATACCTCCCCTCTTCGTCCTCCTCCACGAGTTGATTGTGAGATTTGTGATTGATTCAAGGAATTCATTTTAAATTTATCGTTGTTGGTGAACTCTCTGTGCAGGCTGAGTGTGAATCTCCTCATTTATAGGTATTGTCTTTATTATCACTTTGCATATTTCATACATTTTCCTTCAAGGAGCACAGACTGAGGCAAAAATATAGCAATAAGTGAAGTTTTCTCATTTTTTCTTTTATAGGAGCCTGGGAGAAGGCTCTGAGTTCCTAACCTCTAGCTGAGTGTTTTGTCCACTAGACCACTGCTTCCTAATCAAAATTATGGACTGATAGTTAGGGAACATTGCAATTAGATCGCTTTGCCTTTTATGAAATGATGACAGAGTAGAGGCCAGGGGCGTATTGGTTGCTGATCAGCCTGGATCTTTGTGGGTGGTTTACAGACCTCTGTGCTTTATCTTCTAGTAGTCTATGCTTGGCAATCCTGGGTGGTGTAAATCCTAGCCCAAAGGTTGGTGGTTTGAACCCATCCAGGGGTGCCTCAGAAGACAGGTCTGGCGATCTTCCAAAAGGTCATAGTCTTGAAAACCGTATGTTCTACTCTGCACACATGGGGTCTATGTGGCAACTAACGTCGGCAACTAACGACGACGGTCTTGGTGGGACTCTTCCCCAATTCAGAGCTAAAGAGGACCTTAAATAAAGATCATCCCGGCCAGGGTCAACTATTCATTTTACAAATGGGGCAACTGACCTCACCTGGGAAGGCCACAGCGACTTATCGGTAAAACTACCACCCCGTGCCAGGTTCCAGTCCGTTGCTTCCTTCACTGTACCTCCTTTAGTTATATTGTGTATGACTTTTAGTTAATATATTGATGGTCGGGTGGGGCTGGGGAACTTGTATTGTGAAGCCGCTCTGACATGGCAAGCGTATTTTTTTTTTTTTACCATGTTGTGTTTATTTGGGGAAGCCGTTGGAGTTGTGCATTCAGGGAGCACAACAAGTCACCCGTTACTGTCACCACTGGACTCTAGTCTCCAGCCAAACTGGACCACTTGAAGTTTCCTGAGCTTTCTGTCACCTCTTGCCTCTGGGTCCTTTTCCCTTGTTGCTCCCTTGGTCTTGGATGCCCTGCCCTAACTCTCTTTGCCTGACTAACTCCTTCTCCGAGTCCCTGGGTGGTGCAAATGCTTAACACACTCAGCTCCTAACCAAAAGGCTGGAGGTTCAAGTTCATCCAGATGTGCCTCGGAAGAAAGACCAGGCAATCTACTTCCGAAAAATCAGCCATTGAAAACCCTATGGAGCACAGTTCTACTCTGACACACATGGGGTTGCCATGTGTTGAGCTGTTAACTGGTTTTTAACTACTACTCAGCCTTCAAATCTCACCTCAGGCCTTACATATTTTAGGATATCTTCTTTGCCTGTCCGAATTGGGATTAAATGTCTCCCACAGAAGTTCCCACCTTGATCTTACCTCTGTCACACTTATCACTGTGACTGTCAGTTTGCATCTTGGTCTACCTCTCTAGAATTTAAATCAGTAATTCTCATCCCAAGGGCCTCAGTTCCCTAGGAAGGTGTGTATGAATCTCCAGCATGGCATGTGTAGGTTGAAAAAAACGTATTCAATC